TCTGTTTCGGGCAACAAGTATTCTTGAACTAATACATGGAGACCTCTGTGGGCCTATTACACCTCCAACTGCAGCACAAAATAGATACATATTTGTGCTTATTGACGACTACTCACGATACATGTGGTCTGTTCTTCTGAGAGAAAAAGGAGAATCATTCAAGAAATTTAAGATTTTTAAAGCTTGCATAGAACAAGAAACTGGAGCTTCCATTAAAACCTTCAGGACAGACAGAGGTGGTGAGTTCTTATCACAAGAATTTCAAGAGTTTTGTAACAATACAGGTATCAAGAGACACTTAACTGCTCCATACTCACCTCAACAGAATGGGGTAGTAGAACGACGAAATAGAACCTTGATGGGAATGACACGAAGTATCATGAAACACATGAATGTACCAAACTATCTATGGGGAGAGGCTGTGAGGCATGCTACATACCTTATCAATAGAGTGGCAACAAGAACTTTGGTTAATCAAACTCCATATGAAGTCTTCAAGTCTAAGAAACCAAATATTGCACACTTAAGGATTTTTGGCTGCATTGGATTTGCAAAAACAGAGACTGCACACCTTAAGAAGCTTGATGACCGCTCTAGAATGTTGGTACATCTTGGTACAGAACCCGGATCAAAAGCCTACAGGTTATTTGATCCATCAAGGAAGAAAATCATAGTTAGCAGGGATGTGGTGTTTGATGAAAATAAAAGCTGGAAGTGGAACAACAGTGATCATGAAGAAAATAGTGAACCAGGAATGTTCAGTGTAAGTTTTGGTGAGTTTGGAAATAATGGGATAAGAGAAGATAGTATCCTAGAGGAAGCAGAAAACACTGAGAATGAGAATAATGAAACAGAACCTATAGAACCTACAGAAGAGATCACAGTAATCTCCAATACAGAAATTACTGAAGAAAACCAAGCACAGCCACAAATCGCATTAAGAAGATCTGAGAGAGAAGTTACAAGACCAAGTTACTTAAAAGACTATGTTCTCTTAGCAGAAATTGAATGTGAAAGACTCTTAGTAGTGATAAATGATGAACCATGGGACTACAACGAAGCCAAAGATTCCAAGAAGTGGAAAGAAGCATGTGTAGAAGAAATCTCTTCTATTGAGAAAAACAAAACATGGGATCTAGTTGAACTTCCGGTTGGTGCAAAAGCAATAGGATTGAAATGGGTGTTTAAAATCAAAAGAAACTCGGATGGAAGCATTAATAAGCACAAGGCACGTCTTGTTGCAAAGGGATATGTTCAAAGGCATGGCATTGATTATGATGAAGTATTTGCTCCAGTAGCCCGTATAGAAACTATCCGGTTCATAATTGCATTAGCAGCCTCTAATGGATGGGAAGTGCATCATCTTGATGTTAAAACAGCTTTTCTACATGGAGAATTAAAAGAAAATGTATATGTTCTGCAACCAGAAGGATTTGTAAAAGAAGGAAGTGAAGAGAAAGTATATAAGTTGAATAAGGCACTCTATGGGCTCAAGCAAGCCCATAGAGCTTGGAATAATAAGCTAAACAAAATTCTTCTGGATCTGAATTTCATAAAATGCTCTAAAGAACCCTCTCTGTATCGGAAAACAGAGAATGATGAATCACTTGTGGTAGCAGTCTATGTAGACGACTTACTTGTTACAGGGTCAAGTTTGCAGTTGATACTAGAGTTTAAGAAAGGAATGTCAGCACAATTTGAAATGAGTGATCTCGGCAAACTAACATACTATCTGGGAATTGAAGTGATTCAGTATGAGGGAGGAATAATGCTGAAACAAGAAAGATATGCCACTAAAATCTTAGAGGAAACAGGAATGCTAGATTGTAATGAAGTTCATATTCCCATGGATGCAAACTTGAAATTATCTAAAGCAGAAGGAGAAGAGGGAATTGATGAGAAGGAGTACAGAAGAAACATAGGGTGTCTACGTTATTTGCTACACACACGGCCAGATCTCTCTTATAGTGTTGGAGTCTTGAGTAGATACATGCATGAGCCCAAGAAATCTCATGGAGCAGCTCTAAAACAAATTCTGAGATACTTAAAGGGAACTCAATCGTATGGTCTTTGTTTCACTCGCAATATTGAAAAGAGATTGGTTGGCTTCAGTGACAGTAGTCACAATGTCGATGAAGATGATGGCAAAAGCACTACAGGCCATGTCTTCTACTTAAATGAATGTCCTATTACTTGGTGCTCGCAGAAGCAGGATACAGTGGCTTTATCTTCGTGTGAAGCTGAATTCATGGCTGCCACAGAAGCTGCAAAACAAGCAGTGTGGCTACAGGAGCTTCTAGGAGAAGTCATTGGAAGGTTAGGTGATAAGGTTCTGATACTACTTGATAACAAATCCGCCATAGCCTTAACCAAGAATCATGTGTTCCATGGTCGGAGCAAACACATTCATAAAAGATACCACTTTATCCGTGAATGTGTAGAAAAGGAACTTGTGGAAGTAGATCATGTGCCCGGAGAGATACAAAAGGCTGATATTCTAACCAAAGCATTGGCAAGAATAAGATTTAAGGAGATGCGTGCACTTGTGGGTGTTCAAGATGTTGCTAAGATTCCACTTCAAGCTTAAGGGGAAGTATTGTTGGGCTAAGCTTGAAGATCAAGATGTCGTAAAGCCCAAGTAAAAACAGAGTCGGTGTGATTAAAAGACCTAAGAGAAGTCGGTGTGTTTTAATAGGCTTAGGAGTTATCTAAGACCTAATTGTATGTCGGTTTAGGAGTCATCTAAACTCTATAAATAGTGGTGTTGTGTTTAGTTTTTTTTTTGTGTGCAAAACTTGAGAGTTTGAGATTGTATAGCTTAGGTTTTTGAGTTAGTTTTCCTAAGCAAATAAAGAAGTTGTTTTGTGTTCTTCTTTTGTTCTTAAGTGTTTAGGTCAATAACCACACCGACCCGAAATGCCATCTCTGCGGTAAAAATACCAAGCGCCTTCTTTACCATTGCTCCGTTTGCAAACTCAATTTGGACATTAATTGCATCTTTGATTACTTTTGTGACCGAGCCCATATGAAACTGTCGTGGCACCACCATCCTCTACTCCTTGTTGATTTTGGTGGTCACTTGCAGTGCGACGTTTGTTATATGTTCCGCAGAAGAGGTTACTTTTGCCCTCGTTGCATGTTGGTGGTTCATAAGGAATGCGTCTCAAAAATTGAATCAACAGTGATCGATCACCCTTTTCATGCCAGACACTATCTTAAGCTACTCACAGATGGAGCTCCTGATTACACAGACCCAGAATGTCATGTATGTGGAAAAGAAACAGCAAACTTACTTTACCATTGTGATAAGTGTAAGTTCAACCTGGATATTGGTTGTGCGATTCGTAACCCCCAACGAGTTTCTCTTTCAAAGCTAAAGGTCCATGAGCATACACTCACACTCATGCCAAAATTGATGTTCTTTGTTTGTGATGCTTGTGGGACGAAAGGCGACCATGCTCCTTATGCCTGTGTTCAATGTGATTTCATGTTCTTCCATCAAAAATGTGCTTATTTGCCACTTGTCATCAATGTCAATCACCATGAGCACCGCGTTTCATACAAGTATCCTCTCGGTCCTGGAGAATGGATATGCGGAGTTTGTTGGGAAGAGATTAATTGGTCATATGGGGCTTATTCTTGTTCCTCTTGTCCTAACTATGCTATTCATTCAAGATGTGCAACAAGGAAAGACGTGTGGGATGGGAAAGAGCTCGATGGAGTACCTGAAGTTATTGAAGATATCAAGCCGTTTAAGATGAATGATGACAACACAATCACTCATTTCGCTCATGAACATAACCTGAGCCTCAGCAAAGAAACTGAAGAAAGAAGGTTTTGTGAAGCATGTGTTCTTCCCATCGACTCTTACACATCCTACAAGTGTTCAAAATCTGATTGCTGTTTTATTCTCCATGAAACTTGTGCTAATATTCCTAAGAAGAGACGACACTTTTTGAGCCCACAACCCCTCACTCTTCGCCCCCAAAGCCAACGCAAGAAAGAAAATATTTGTCGAGCTTGTGATCAAGTTTTTTGCCAAGGATTCGTCTACTCTACATATCAGAAACAGAATTTTGACTTATTGTGCAGCTCGATTACTGTGCCTTTTAAACATGGAAGTCATGATCATCATTTGCTCTACCTCAAACTAGATGTTGATCACATGAAGACTTGCCATAACTGTGGCATTGACGAAAAAGAAGTCGTCCTAGGTTGTATCAAATGCAACTACTTCTTGGATTTTCGTTGTGCCACTCTACCATATACGGTAAGGCTTCCCAGGTACGATGATCATCCACTCACTCTTTGTTATGGTGAAAAAGCAAGCGGGAAATATTGGTGTGATATTTGTGAAAGAGAAACAAATTCAAAGACTTGGTTCTACACTTGTCAAGATTGCGGGGTCACTTTGCATGTCTTTTGTGTAGTTGGGGATATTAGATATGCTAAACCAGGAGGAAGCATCAACAACAATGTTGAATTGGTGCCTAACAATAGATCTTCAAGACCACTTTGCCACAACTGTCATTGCCATTGCCCAGGTCCCTTCATTCTTAAGGATTCTGTCGAAGAGAATTTTTGTTCTTAGGTGCTGTTCGTTTCTCCATTCAGATGGATCATCTGAATGGAGATGAGTTATGATGTTCGTTTATAACAATTTTACAGAGCAGTGAGATGAACCAGTTGGATGATTTTTATAAAACTCATCCAAAAAATGATCATTTTCCGACTGAGTCTGATCGGAGCAGTTGACTGGAGCTGATTCAGTCTAAAATACAAAATGACCTAAATACCCCTATCTAATTTGGAAAATTACACCAAAAAACCTAAACCTACTTCTCATCATTCATTCCACGACAGAGACTCAGAAGCCATCCTTCGACAACGTGAGAAGAGAAACGAGATCCTTCGCACCGAAGCTGGATCTCTTCGCAGCTGGATCTCTCCGCCGGATCTCTCGCCGGAATCCACTCCTCTTTGATCTCTCCGCCGGCTGTCTTCTTCTCTCTCGTGCGTGGGTTTAGGTGTTACGATTGAATTAGCTGCGACCATTGTTTGAGAGGTAAGACTCATGGGTTTGATTATTGGATTTGATTTCTCCTTTAGTCATTGAAATCTCGAAGTGGGTTTCAGGTGTTACGGATTGAAATCGCTGCAACCACTGTTTGAGAGGTATGATATATCTCTAATTCATGATTTTGTATTGAGTTTATGTGTACCAATGGAGACGAGTGTTGTGGCTTTGTTTGATTTCGTGTTTCTAATGCTTATAGGCTATTATCGTTTTTGATGTTTGATTTTGTATTGAGTTGATCTGTTTCACCATCTAAAGCTGCCATTGTTTGATGTTTGATCTGTTTCACCATTTAAAGCTGCCATTGTGTGTTTAGTTCTGTGGCTTCTTCGTTAGTGTTTAGTGCTTAACATTAGATGAAATTGCTTGGATTTTGGCCTAACTCTGTCTCTATTGTGGTACTAAAGATCTCTAGTTAGTGCATGAGCGCAGGCTTCTCTTGATATTTGGATGCGCCTGCAAAAAAAAACATAGTTGTTCACTAGAGATCTCTTAAAATTTTCAAAATCTCTAAGATAATGAGAACTTGATCATCTCCTTAACCACAAGATTTCAAGTGAGGTTTTAACCACAAGATCATCCACTTTGTTCACTAGCTTTTTAAGTGTGTTCTGGAAATCTGAGAGTTCCTTCCTTTATTGAAACCCCTGTTATATGACTTTTTTGAGTTTGATTTGTCTGAATTTCTTACGCAGCTTTGCTTGTAATGTCTGTTCGAGTTTGGTTGACTCCACCATGGTTTATGGTACATTATCATCATGTGCATGTTGCATTATCATTCAAGATAGTGTCTTGTGAACTCTAGTGTCTAGTGTCTTGTGTCTTTCATGTTTCTTGGGAACTCTAGTGTCTAGTTGTAAATTTGACGTTTACACAATTTGATTAAATAATCTCTTCTGATTCAACGTAGAGAAGACTGATTGTTGTTATTAAGATTTTTGGAGTTTATGTTTGGTAATGATGTTGGATCCTTAATTGTCATAACATAGGCTTTGGTTCTTATAAAAAAAAATTAATTTCATGAAAATGAAAATTTATAAATGTCAAATATAATAATTTGAAATTTCTTTGGTTATAAATATATATTTGATCAATAATTAAAATTAATATGGTTAAGATTAAGGATTAAAATATTATTAGATGAAAACATGGGCATTTTAGTAATTTTTCTTCTCAAAAACATCTAAATGAGAATGGTTGTCAACCAAACAAACAAAGTTTTAAGCAAAAGCATTTAGATGGACCATTCAGATGAACTACCAAAAATAGAAACGAACATCATTCAGATGGATTAGTCAGATGGAGCATTTGGATGGATCATTTGGATGCATATCCCAAATGAGCAAACAAACAGCACCTAACTTATTTACTTCTCTACTTAATATAACTAAATTGGCAAAGTAACCCCTCAATTTATCCATTTATTTTCGATGTTACCCGGAACTTTGATTTTTTCTGTTTTCGACTTTTCCATTTAGAAGTTTTTATTTCTCCCCAAATTAACAAGATGGACACAAAAACTCTCTAATTCCGCCGCCGTCGCCGCCAACACATCCACCGCGAATCCCCAAATGTAGTCTCCATAACCTCTACTCTATCGACACCGTGCTTTTAGTCTTGAGTTTTCACTGTGTTTTTTATTTGTGTTCCGATTGATTGTAGAATCAAAGAAAAAACGAAGGAAGCCGATTGTTCGGAAAAACTTGGAAAATATGGCGAATAGTAAGTACGAGTACGTGAAGTCATTCGAAGTGGAAGACGAAGTTATGTTTCCCAATTTGATAATTATCCATATCGATAGCCTTGATTTTTCGAGGTAAATTTCTTCGCACCCAAAGTGATGGTGTGTAGATTGTGAACGAGAAGAGTATAGAGTCTGATAGGTTGTTTTGGGAGCTTACTTGAATTTATTCTTAGTAGATTGTGTTTGAGATGGTTCTTGGAATTTGAACATTGGATAAGGATGTGTTCTCTCATGGATCTATCTATATATGTTTGTGTGTGTTTGTAGATTGACAATGCTTTCCTTGTGTTTCTTACTTTCTTTTTCCTTATAATAACTGTAGATTTTCCCAAGTTCACAAGTTTGAGAAGCCTAATGATGAGACGGCTCTAAATTTGATGAATTCATGTGCATCTTCGGTTTTGGAAGAGTATCCTGATATAGTCTTTGCATATGGATATAGTGACGAGTACAGGTACCATAGTCACTTGGATTAGTTGTTTTAGTTTTGACTCGTACCTTTGACAAGACTTTATTGTTTTCATATATCATGTAGCTTTGTATTCAAGAAAACATCAAGATTCTACCAGAGACGAGCCAGGTAATTCATGATTTGGGAGATATCTCGAGTTGTATTTAGTTTCTTCTGTATGATTTGAATTTTGACATCTACTTTAACTTTTATGCTGTTTCATATGCAGTAAGATTCTGTCTTTGGTAGCCTCATTTTTTGTTGCGGTCTATGTAACGAAATGGAAAGAGTTCTTTCCTCATAGAAAATTAGTATATGCTCCTTCATTCGCTTCAAAGGCTGTAAGTTGCGCATCAATAGAGGTTCTTCAAGCTTACCTTGCTTGGAGACAACATGACTGTAAGACCTTCTAACATCTATATATGTTCTATGAAATTTTCCTTAACAAATTCATGATTACTGCATTCTGGATACTATTAATACTTATTGGCGTTTGCATCTAGATATTTTTACAACTTCTATTGTTTTGGTTGCAGGCCACATCGGTAATCAGTATGACACATGTTTTTGGATGTTAGTAAAAAGTGGAAAGACCTTAAGTGAAACACAGGAGATTTTGAAGGTGTGTTGTCTATGCTTTTTTTTCCGTGACAATGACAAGCTACGTTGATTTTTCCATGGGATAATATTTAACACTATGACTAGACTTTATTTTACCTTCACCTGGTTTCATACCTTGTAATCATATTTTATTGTATAATCACACTACTTCCTATTGATAACTGCAGGATACACAGAAACAACAGAGAAATGAGCTTCTTTTCCAGCAATTTGGTATTAATTATAAAATGCTTCCTGCATTGTTTCGTCAAGGATCATGCCTTTTTAAGACAAAGGTGATCTTTTTCATTATTTCATGCTTTTATTTATAGCCTTCATATGCTTGCTTTGAGATGTGTTGCATATGTATTTAAAAATTTAGAGCTTTCAATTGTTAAGTTGACTCCTTATGAAGATCAATAAGTTCTTTTTGTTGAGTGATTTAATTGGTGTGCATGTATGTTCTTGCAGTGTAAATTTCAATTGCCTGAAATCTTGTAAACTTTGTTTAGTCTTGTGTCGCTGCAGCTTGCATGTTCAGGTTACAAAATCAATTTTATTAGTTGAAAATGTAAAAGTCAGATGTTCTCTTGTCTCTATGTAGGTCAGGTTTAATGTATATTTCGGGTGTGTGATACTTTTGTTGAATTCATTCAGGTAGAAGAAACTGTAAAGCATGATGAGAATGGAAATCCTGTAAAACGATTGAGGAGAAGGGAAACTTTAGTGCATTCAGAAAATATTGCTGGAAGAAGCTTTTGGAATGAGCACTCCTCTCTTCATAAAGATCTTGGACATTTTGCAAAAGAAATTGGCAAAATTGAACCAGATTATGTTAAGTCGTTTCAGTTTGAGAGTAGATTATTACCTTTAACTTGGGTTGTGGTTAGGATTGATGGCTGCCATTTTCACAGGTAATATGCTTTTTAGTCTTCGTCTATTTTCATTGTTAAACAATGTGTCTTGCATGGAAGCCTTAGACTTGTTAAAAAATATATGTTCGCTAGGATTGATTTAGTTATAATGCTATATTACGAGTTTATACACTTCTGACTGCTATGGTCGGCCTGTTTCTTACATTGTGATTGCTTTTGTGTTGTTCTTTAAATTGTGTTTTATTAGGCAATGCTAGTATCACTTACTGCGAAGTAGAGTTTTTTGGAACTTATAAAAAAAAAATATAAGAACAGTAGTTGACCACTTTGGCAAGCAAACGCCTGCATATTGCTTGAATGATTACTATTCTCCTGTTGTAAGTGAAACTCATTGAGCTTGCTTGGATTTTGATAGATTTTCTGAAGTTCACGAATTTGAGAAGCCAAATGATGAGCAAGCTCTGAAACTTATGAATTCATGTGCAGTGGCTGTTCTTGAAGAGTTTCAGGATATTGTCTTTGCCTACGGCGTTAGTGACGAGTACAGGTATGTAACTCTCAGCCCCTTTAAACCAACTTTACATTTCTAGATATTAATCGAGTTCATCTTTGGTTTGCAGCTTTGTTCTTAAGAATAAATCTGAGCTTTACAAAAGACAGTCCAGGTCAAACTAATTTTCTATGCCCGTAATTTTTCTTGTTGCAGGATAAATTTATCTGTCTGCCCTAGGTTTTTCTTGTTCTTTTCCACTGTTTATAATTTAATTTCAAATATTTTGTTACAGTAAGATAATATCTGCAATTGTATCCTTCTTCACATCGACGTACGTGATGAGATGGGGAGATTTCTTCCCTCATAAAAAATTGAAATACCCTCCATCATTCGATGGACGAGCTGTTTGCTATCCAACATCAGATATTCTCCTGGATTATCTAGCTTGGAGACAAGTCGACTGTGAGTATAGTTGTCTTATAAATGGTTCACTTGTCTTGTGAGATAGTTACTTGATATTAAATAGACTCGTAGTTTGAATTGGATGCTCTTGTTCAGCAATTGTTTTTGGTCTTGCAGGCCACATCAATAATCAGTATAATACATGTTTCTGGATGCTTGTTAAGTCTGGAAAAAGCAAAACTCAAGCCCAAGATTACTTAAAGGTGCTTTGTTATGTCTTTCTCGAATAGCCAATGCTCGCTCTTAGTTCATTGACTAAATGGTTTGTCACTTGCATTTGGCTCTGTTGCAGGGTACCCAAACACGAGAAAAAAACGAGTTACTTAGCAAGCAATTTGGAATTGAGTACAACTCATTACCTGTAATCTTCCGCATGGGTTCTTCCGTTTTCCGCCTAAAGGTGCTACTTCTATTATCATACTCCAAAATTCTTCTAGTGTTTCATAGCAGATTCTTATTATAGTGAAGAAAAGAAGTGTCCTTCTCTCTTTTGTCAGTTTTGACATAAACCTTTTGAGGTATTCTTGTCTGTGCAGAGATTTACAAGTAAGTGGTGTGAATGAATTTTTACATTTAGATGCAGGAAGGTGTTACAGAGGAGAATGGAGAAGTTTCAGGAAAGCAAGTGGAAGCAGAAGTGGTCGTAGACTTTTCTAACATTATCGACCCATGTTTCTGGCAACAACATCCTCACATTCTTTAGTTTTTGTGCTTATGGATCTATTTATCATCTTATTAAGCCTATGAAAAGAGTAGAATCTTCATCTCAATAAACTACCATTATCTTAGCTACTATACCCTACATGACACTGTAACAAAACCTCTCTTAATAGCTCAAAGCATATACACAACATCCGATACCTACACTGTAACAAAATCTGTAGAAGAATCAGAGCGCAACATATAAGTTTTATGTCACTTCTTAGAATGATTAGGGAATGATCCTCACCTTGTCCCTTCTAGACAAGGACACTGAAATAACTCCTGGGAACGCTAACAGCTTCACTCAGCTTGTATTTTCTTCTTCTACTACACTTTTAAGTTTACAATCCTTGTGTGGATTTTTTCGTATTGCTTGAATATGATGCACAAATGCAGCTATAATTACATGGTGCTTTGGGGGGAGGCTTTCTTGTTGAAGAGACATTGTGACGAGCATCCTTTAAAGCTTTTGCAACATGCTTTTGGGCTTTCTAGAAGTGTATATTACAGAGTACAGGAGCAGTCAACGCAAGTGTTGGTTTTCCAAAGAGTAATGGTCTTGCTGGAGCTCTGGATGTACAAGCCAAACAATGCAGAGTTAGGAGAGAACAGCTTAAAATATCATTATATATGCTATTTACAAACCAGTAAACAAAATTACCCATATATGAAACCGAGTGTTGTTACACCCAAATCTGAAACATGGTTTATGCTTTAATACTACCACAATGGGACTATTCTAACTCAATTATATTTTTTTAGAGTTTCATCCCGTTGTTCAGTTAAAACTCATCGTTAAAGATGAACTAGTTATGCTAATATTCATAATCCTAACTCAGTTGCAAAGACACATCAATAAAGACATCTTTGTCGGTGTCCAAAGCTATAAGCTATTTCCTATTGAGTTAATTAGGTGCATACCACTTTTTTGAGAAATAATTAAGAAACATTATATAAGTTTTCGTTATTTGCAAGATAAGAAAGAGAAATTATGGGTGTAATAAAATGTGGACGAAAATACCCCTGAAACTAAAAGCGGAAATTTTCAGCAGGAGACATATGCGTCAGAGAATCTATAGTGGGCCACCACTTATTAAATGCTTGCATCGATAGTATATTCTGCTAAAGAATTAAATGTCGTGCTATCTTATTTTTTATCGGATACATGAATATATATCATACATCGTAATATTCTATTAACATTATTTACATATGATATATCACTATAGATATATCACTATATATCCTGAAATATCACTATAGATCATGATATGATATGATATTCATTATATATCATGATATAGCAATATATTTCATGATATATCAATATATATCATAACATATATCATGATATCACAATATATAATATGATATATGCTAAAATATCGTGATATATAAATATATATCAAGGTTTATAAATATATTTTAAAACGATGTGGTAGAAAGCAACGTGCGACTTGAATTGAAGGACATTATCTGCCTTCGAATGAAATTTAATGGGATCCGCAGAGACCATGTCTTCATCCATAGGATTCCAAGTGGTATTGTAGATGTTCCCTCTTTTTCATCCCCAAGCATTTTTTTTGAATTTCCCATTTATCCGTTTATTGAAAAAATCTCATGGAAACTATACATCGTAACATTCTATTAATATTATTTACATATGATATATCACTATAGATATATCACTATATATACTGATATATAACTATATATCATGATATGATATGATATACACTATATATCCTGATATAGCAATATATTTCATGATATATCAATATATATCATAACATATATCATGATATCTCAATATATAATATGATATATATAAAAATATCGTGATATATAAATATATATCAATGTTTATAAATATATCTCATGATATATCGATATCTGATATAGTGGTGGTGATGGAGAGGGAGAGTCTGTTGGCGGACGGGGAAGGTGGGACACTGTTGTGGATGTGATAGGTGAGTGAAGTAAATTGAACATTGTGGTGGTTGTATTGAATTGTATGTTAGTGGCGGAGGAGGTGATGGTGATGTGAATGAAGAATATGTTGCGTTGGAAGAGAAGGTGGTGATGGTGAACTGGATGGAAATTATAATCCAAGAAAACTAACGACCATCGATTCGAATAACCATCAAGTTAGGAAGCATGACTTCATCCTCCAATTCGAATGACTTCACATACTCGTATTTGCTATTCGCCATATCCTCAATGTTTCACGAAAGTCTCTGCTTCTTCTTTCTTATTTGATTCTACTCTCTCACTTTGAAAATTTCCAGCCGGCGCAAAAAAAAAAACAAATTACATCTAAACTGGTCAGATTTGGTTCTCTTTTAGTTTCCGGCCGTTACTTGGAGTTGTGACCGATCTGGTTCCCCTTCAAATTATTTTCCTACATTCTAAGCCGGATAGCCAAAATAGAAGTGTTCCAAGTTTTTGCCACCCATAATCTCGAAAATATATTTTTCAAATGCAATGCCTCGTTGCCTGAGTCTCCCATTGGCCATTAGACAATTACAATTTCACATACGCTTTTCACAAGTAAATTGCACAAATGATCAAAATTGCAACAAAACTGAAATAGACATATCCAAATGTTAGAATGAGTTCCATTACTCAAGTTTAGTTTTTGTGCTTATGGATCTATTTATCATCTTATTACGCCTATGAAAAGAGTAGAATCTTCATCTAAATAAACTACCACTATCTTAGCTACTATACCCTACAGGACACTGTAATACAACCTTTCTTAATAGCTCAACACAGATAAACAACATCCTATACCTACACTGTAACAAAATCTGTAGAAGAATCAGAGCGCAACATATAAGTTTTATGTCACTTCTTAGAATGATTAGGGAAAGATCCTCAGCTTTTCCCTTTTGGGCAAGGACACTGAAATAACTCCTAGGAACGCTAACAGCTTGACTCAGCTTGTATTTTCTTCTTTTACTACACTTTTAAGTTTACAATCCTTGTGAGGATTTTTTCGTATTGCTTGAATATGATGCACAAATGCAGCTACTATAACATGAAGCTTTGGGGGAGGCTTTCTTGTTGAAGAGAAATTGTGACGGGCATCCTTTAAAGCTTTAGCAACATGCGTTTGAGCTTTCTGGAAGTGTATATTACAGAGTACATGAACAATCAATGCAAGTTTTGGTTTTCCACAGAGTAGTGGTCCTGCTGGAGCTCTGGATGTACAATCCAAACAATGCAGAGTTAGAAGAGAACAACTTAAAATATCATTATATATGCTAATTACAAACCAGTAAACAAAATTACCTATATATGAAATCTAGTGTCATTACACCCAAATCTGAAACCTGGTTTATGCTTTAATACTACCACAATGGGACTATTCTAACTCAATTACATTTTTTCAGAGTTTCATCCCGTTGTTCATTTAAAACTCATCGTTAAAGATAAACTAGTTATGCTAATATTCATAATCCTACCTCATTTGCAAAGACACATCAATAGAGACATCTTTGTCGATGTCCAAAGCTATAAGCTATTTCCTATTGAGTTGTTTTTTTTTTTGGTGAAACGAGGGGAGACAGTGTCTCCCAATATTATTCAAAAAACTAAAAGAAATTACAAACCTACATTCCGTGGTCGTGTAGACCCACTAACATCCTCTAACATAATGGAATTCACACATTCCGGTGGCGACTCGAACATATGAAAACCTAGAGGAAGTGAAAACGCATAGTTCGCTAATCCATCTGCTAGACGATTAGTCTCCCTATACACATGAGTAACCCGGACTATCCAGTCCTTTGCAAAGAAGCCATAGCACAAACGTACTAGGAAGGACATCGAATGAGAATTACTTATCCCTGTCTTAAGAAAACCAACCAGAATTTTGGAGTCTACTTCCAGCTCCACACGTGTAGCGCGACGCTCCCACGCAATAAAGAGCCCATAATAAATTCCCCAAAGCTCTGCCATTGGTGCAAAACAAAATCCAATATTAACCGCGAACCCACCACACCAACTCCCTGAGCTATCTCTAAGAACCTCATCGTTAAAGATAAACTAGTTATGCTAATATTCATAATCCTACCTCATTTGCAAAGACACATCAATAGAGACATCTTTGTCGGTGTCCAAAGCTATAAGCTATTTCCTATTGAGTTAATTAGGTGCATACCACTTTTTTAAAAAATAGTTAAAAAACATGATATAAGTTTTCGTTATTTGCAAGATAAGAGAGAGTAGTTGTGGGTGTAAAAAAATGTGGACGAAAATACCCCTAAATTAAAAGCGGAATTTTATGTAGGAGACATAAAATACTTGCATCGATTGTATATTCTGTTAAAAAATTAAATGTCGTGATTTTTTATTTTTTATCGGATATATGGATATATATCATACATCATAATATTCTATTAATATTGTTTACATATGATATATCACTATAGATATATCACTATATATCATGATATTATATGATATTCATTATATCATAATATAGCAATATAATTCATGATATATGAATATATATCATAACAAATATCATGATATCACAATATATAATATGATATATGTTACAATATCATGATATATAAATATATATATATCAAGGTTTATAAATATATCATGGAAATATACATCATAATATTCTATTAATATTATTTACATATGTTATATCACTATAGATATAACACTATATATCATGATATATAGTTATATATCAGGATATGATATGATATATACTATATATCCTAATATAGCAATATATTTCATGATATGTCAATAAATATCATAACATATATCATGATATCTCAATATATAATATAATAGATACAAAAATATCGTGATATATAAATATATATCAATGTTTAAAAATATATCTCATGATATATCGATATCTGATATAGTGGTGGTGATGGAGAGGGAGAGTCTGTTGGCGGACGGGGAAGGTGGGACATTGTTGTGGATGTTATATGTGAGGTAAGTAAATTAACCATTGTGGTTATTGTATTGAATTGTATGTTAGTTGCAGAGGAGGTGATGGTGATGTGAATGAAGAATATGTTGCGCTTGAAGAGATGGTGGTGATGGTAAACGGGATGGAAATTATATTCCAAGAAAACTGACGACCATCGATTCAAACAACCATCAAGTTAGGAAGCATGACTTCATCCTCCAATTCGAATGACTTTACATACTCGTTATTGCTATTCGCCATATCCTCAACGTTTCACGAAAGTCTCTGCTTCTACTTTCTTCTTTGATTCTACTCTCTCACTTTGAAAATTTCCAGCCGACGCAAAAAAAAAGACCGGATAACATCTAAACCGGTTAGATATGGTTCTCTTTTAGTTTCCGGCCGTTACTTGGAGGGTGACCGATCTGGTTACTTCAAATTATTTTCCTACATTCTAAACCGGATAGCCAAAACTGAAGTGTTCCAAGGTTTTGCCACCCATAATCTCGAAAATACAATTTTTCAAATGCAATGCCTCGTTGCCCGAGTCTCCCATTGGCCATTAGACATTTATAATTTCACATACGCTTTTCACAAGTAAATTGTACAAATGATCAAAATTGCAACAAAACTGAAATAGACATATCCAAATGTTAGAATGAGTTCCATTACACAAGTTCAGTTTTTGTGCTTATAGATCTATTTATCATTTTATTAAGCCTATGAAAAGAGTAGAATCTTCATCTCAATAAACTACCACTATCTTAGCTACTATAACCTACATGACACTGTAATACAACCTCTCTTAATAACTCAGCACAGATAAACAACATCCGATACTTACACTGTGACAAAATCTGTAGAAGAATCAGAGCATATAAGTTTTATGTCACTTCTTAGAATGATTAGGGAAAGATCCTCACCTTTTCCCTTTTGGGCAAGGACACTGAAATAACTCCTGGGAACGCTAAGAGCATGACTCAGCTTGTATTTTCTTCTTTTACTACACTTTTAAGATTACAATCCTTGTGAGGATTTTTTCATATTGCTTGAATATGATGCACAAATGCAGCTACAATAACATGGAGCTTTGGGGGAGGCTTTCTTATTGAAGAGACATTGTGACGAGCATCCTTTAAAGCTTTAGCAACATGCTTTTGGGCTTTCTGGAAGTGTATATTACAGAGTACATGAACAGTCGATGCAAGTATTGGTTTTCCACAGAGTAATGGTCCTGCTGGAGCTCTGGATGTACAATCCAAACAATGCAAAGTTAGGAGAACAGCTTAAAATATCATTATATATGCGAACTATAAACCAGTAAACAAAATTACCTATATATGAAACCAAGTTTTATTACTCCCAAATCTGAAACCTGGTTTAGGCTTTAATACTACCACAATGGGACTATTCTAACTCAATTACATTTTTTCATAGTTTCATCCCGTTGTTCATTTAAAACTCATCGTTAAAGATAAACTAGTTATGCTAATATTCATAATCATATCTCATTTGCAAAGACACATCAATAGAGACATCTTTGTCGGTGACCAAAGCTATAAGCTATTTCCTATTGAGTTAATTAGGTGCATACCATTTTTTTAAGAAATACTTAAGAAACATGATATAAGTTTTCGTTATTTGCAAGATAAGAGAGAGAAATTGTGGGTGTAATAAAATATGGACAAAAATACCCCTGAAATTAAAAGCGGGAATTTTATGTAGGAGATATATGCGTCAGGGAATCTATAGTGGGCCACCACTTATTAAATGCTTGCATCGATAGTATATTCTGCAAAAGAATTAAATGTCGGGATATCTTATTTTTTATCGGATACATGGAAATATATCATACATCGTAATATTCTATTAATATTGTTTACATATGATATATAAGTATAGATAAGTCACTATATATCATGATATGATATGATATTCATTATATCATAATATAGCAATATATTTCATGATATATCAATATATATCATAACAAATATAATGATATCACAATATATGATATGCTATATGTTAAAATATCGTGATATATAAATATGTATCAAGGTTTATAAATATATCTCATGGAAACTATACATTGTAATATTCTATTAATGTTGTTTACATATGATATATCACTATAGATATATCACTATATATCCTGATATATAACTATATATCATGATATGATATGATATACACTATATATCCTGATATAACAATATATTTCATGATATATCAATAATATCATAACATATATTATGATATCTCAATATATAATATGATATATGTGAAAATATCGTGATATATAAATATATATCAATGTTTATAAATATATCTCATGATATATCGATATCTGATATAGTGGTGGCGATGGAGAGAGAGAGTATGTTGGCGGACAGGGAAGGTGGGACACTGTTGTGGATGTGATAGGTGAGTGAAGTAAGTTGAATATTGTGGTGGTTGTATTGAATTGTATGTTAGTGACGGATGAGGTGATGGTGATGTGAATGAAGAATATGTTGCGTTTTTTTTTACATTGTTTGGAAATTTTCAAAGTGAGAGAGTAGAATCACAGAAGAAAGAAGAAGCAGAGACTTTCGTGAAACGTTGAGGATACGGCGAATAGCAAATACGAGTATATGTAGTCATTCGAATTGGAGGATGAAGTCATGCTTCCTAACTTGATGGATATTCGAATCGATGGTCGTCAGTTTTCTAGGTAAACTTTTTTCTCGCTTTTATTCTATACAATGTCAATGGTGATGGTGTGTAGATTGTAGCATCTCGGGAATAATTTGAGGGAAAATAATGATTAAAGGCTGCGTCTTTGATAGATTTTGGAACCATGATTTCACATTGTTCCTGAAAGAATGTTTTTTTTTTGGGTTTATTACTTACACCTGCTTACGTTCTTTGGTAACTATAGATTTTGTCAAGTTCATGAGTTTGAGAAGCCTACTGATGAAACAGCCCTCAATTTGATGAATTTATGTTCAGCTACGGTTTTGGAAGAGTTTCCTGACATCATCTTTGCTTATCGATACAATGACGAATACATGTCCCAAATTCACTATATTGGATTTATCTGTTTTAGATATTTACATCTTTACCCATACATATATATGTCATGTACAAGCTTTTAATTGTTTTCCATGTCTTTTGTAGTTTTTTATTCAAGAGAACATTAAGATTCTACCAAAGACGAGCCAAGTTTTGATATGTGATCTGTATGTATTTAGAAATTTAGGCTCCAGTTGTAAGTTGAGTCTCTATCAGTGTTAGCAATTTTAGTTTGTTGAAATATATTGTTGGTACACATGTACGTTTAGGCTTATGCATTGTAATTTGGAAACTACAGTTGTCTGAACCCTTGTAAAATCTAGCCATGTGCAGAAGAAGACTATTACTTCAGCTTAGTTGATGTTGAGGTTTAAAACTGATGTATCTAGCTGATCTTCCAGTAATATACTTTCATTTAACTTCATGAGGTATAAGAAATTGTAAAGCATGATGAGAAAGGAAATCATCTAAAAAGATTGAGGAGAAAGACTGTTTTTGTACATTCAGAGAATATTGCCGGAAGAAGCTTTTGGAATGAGCAGCCTCTCTATATAATGATCTTGGCCACTTCATGAAAGACACAGGAAAAGTTGAACTAGATTTTATTAGGTCGTTTCCGTTTGAGAACAAATTGCTACCTTTAACTTGGGTCGTGGTTATGATTGATGGCTGTCATTTTCACATGTAATTTTCTATAGCTTATGTCTTGATCTCTTATAAGTTTGTCAGTCATTTTATTGCATTGAAGCCTTAGACTAGTAAAGTCATTTCGGTCCATAGGTTTCAACTAGGCTGGCCTGTTCAGTTTTCATATGTTCTGTTGTGGTTGCTTTTGTTTAGGGAATATTCTGATTCTTAAATCTGAACTTGCATTTTCAGAAAGAAGTCATTTTATTACTGATTATTTGTGTTCTATGTTGCTAATGAAACTCATGGAGCTTGCTTGGATTTTGATAGATTTTAAGACGTTCATGAATTTGAGAAGCCAAATGATGAGCAAGCTCTGAAACTTATGAATTCATGAGCAGTGGTAGTTCTCAAGGAGTTTGAGGATATTCACTTTTCCTATGCTGTCAGTGATAAGTACAGGTGTCCATCTCTCAACCTGTTTATCTCATCATTCACATATCTTAGATATTAAGTTCATCATCGATTGCAGCTTTGTTTTGAAGAAAGAATCTGAGCTCTACAAAAGACAAACCAGGTTAAACTACATTTTTCTTTTTCCTTACACTCATATCTCCCTAATTTTCTTATCTTAATTTCTAGTATTACATTGCAGTATAATAATATCCGCAATCACATCCTTCTTTACATAAACTTATGTGTTACAATGTGGAGATTTGTTTTCTCACAAAGAATTGAAGTACCCTCCAACATTCGATGGACGAGCTATATGCTATCCAACATACAATATTCTCTTGGATTATCTGGCGTGTAGACAAGTTGACTATGAGTATAGTAACACTGTGATAGATGATTTGGAATCATCTACATATCTTTGCGAGATTTTAGATATGAATAGACTCATGTTTTCTTTGATTTTTGTTTGGCATGCCACATGATGATTAAGGTTAGTTGCCTTAATTATCAAACTTTAAATCTATGCATAAACATTTGGATACACTGGATTGGCTGAAGAAACTCCATAAGTGCCAAACTAACTCTGTTCTTATCGTATAAATCAATTAAAAGCTTTGGTTATTAACTAGTAAAGAGCTAAATGTATACACCAAACCTGAAATGTAACTATCCGCCAGAGATTTGTTACTCGTTTCTTATCAAACTCATCAAGCATTTGAACAGTGTGGAACATGATCTTCCATTGTAGATCTTGATATTTGTAGTTACCTGTTAAACAACTGTTTGAATATTCTTTTTAGGAAGTCGAGAACGGAGTAGTTTCAGGGAAGAAACTGGAAGGAGAAGTGGTCATGGATCATTGCAACATCATAGAACGTTGTTTCTGGGAAGAACACCCACACATTCTTAGCTACTCATAAACAGTACATTTTAGTATTTTACTTTACTAGGAAACTAATTTATTACAAATTCTTAATTTCCAATGAGTACACCTCTAGTTCTTTTCAACAACATGTGTTATACGAGTTCACATGTCTTTCTGTCGTCAACTATTGTTAAGATTTTAGAAAAATTATTTTTGTTTTGAATGTTTATAAATAGGAAAGAGTTAATTAGGTGCATACTATTTTTTCAGAAATAATTAAGAAACAGAATATAAGTTTCGTTATTTACAAGATAAGAGAGAGAAATTATTGGTATAATAAAATGTAGACGAAAATACCCCTTGAATTAAAATCGGAAATTTTCTATAGGAGACATATGCGTTAGTGAATCTATAGTGGGCCACCACTTATTAAATGATTGCTTCGGTAGTATATTCTGCTACAGAATTAAATGTCGTGATATCTTATTTTTTATCGAATACATGGATATATATCATATATTGTAATATTCTATTAATATTGTTTACATATGATATATCACTATAGATATATCACTCTATATCTTGATATATTACTATATATCATGATATGATATGATATTCACTATATATCATGATATAGTAATATATTTTATGATATAGCAATATATATCATAACATATATCATGATATCACAATATAATATGATATACTGTATGTTAAAATATCGTGATATATAAATATATATATATATATCAAAGTTTATAAATATATCTCATGAAAATTATTCATCATAATATTCTATTAATACTATTTACATATGATATATCACTATATATATATAACACTATATATCCTGATATATAACTATATATCATGATATGATATGATATATACTATATATCCTGATATAGCGATATATTTCATGATATGTCAATATATATCATAACATGTATCATGATAGATATGTCAATATATATCATAACATGTATCATGATATCTCAATATATAATATGATATATACAAAAATATCGTGATATATAAATATATATATATCAAAGTTTATAAATATATCTCATGAAAATTATTCATCATAATATTCTATTAATACTATTTACATATGATATATCACTATATATATATAACACTATATATCCTGATATATAACTATATATCATGATATGATATGATATATACTATATATCCTGATATAGCGATATATTTCATGATATGTCAATATATATCATAACATGTATCATGATAGATATGTCAATATATATCATAACATGTATCATGATATCTCAATATATAATATGATATATACAAAAATATCGTGATATATAAATATATATCAATGTTTAAAAATATATCTGATGATATATCGATATCTGATATAGTGGTGGTAATGGAGAAGGAGAGTCCGTTGGCGGACGGGGAAGGTAGGAGACTATTGTGGATGTAATAGGTGAGTGAAGTAAATTGAACATTGTGGTGGTTGTATTGAATTGTATGTTAGTGGCGGAGGACGTGATGGTGATGTGAATGAAGAATATGTTGCGGTGGAAGAGAAGGTGGTGATGGTTAATGGGATGAAAATTATTTTTGCGATGACATAAGTGAGACTATGACGGGATGGAAATTATATTCCAAGAACATACAGCAAAACCCTTTCTCCGTAAAACCACTAAGGCCTCCGTCTTACTCCGGCGGTGCATCTACTTCCGCCGTGGCTTCTACCTCAAGCAAGTCACAAATTTGGAACCCTACCTTAAATCCTAACCCTAGCACTTTTTAATTTTGACTTCGAATTTACCGATTACGATGTCACATGAAGATGAAATCCTTGCACTTTCCAGTCAGCTTACCCGCCCGGAGCTTCTCCATTGTCGATCACGCAACCTGATGCAGCTCGCCAAGTGTTGTACAGACAATTATTGGGCTATAATGGAGGATGTCAAGGCACAACACAGGAATTATCGGTGGAAGTATGGGATTAGTCCGTTTAAAAACGAACATAATCAATCGAATAAGAGACGGAGGCTTGGTCAAGAGGGAGATATCGGAGATGGTGATGGTGTTGAAGGTAGTGGAGATAATGGTACTAACAATGATGGTGGTAATGGTGTAAAGAGTGATCAATATGCGAATAGTAATTGTCACTACAAGAAAACACGTCATTTGCGACCCCCATATTGGTTGCAAAACGGTCGCGAAATAGAGTTTTGCAACTGAATAGCGACTATTTCCATTAGTCGCAAAAAAACGGTCGCAAAATTTCTGTGTCTCATTATAGTCGCTAATTTGCGACTATTTGGCGACTATAAATATATCGTCGCAAATTAACGACTAATCTGTGACAGGTGAATATCGTTGCAAATTTGCAACTATTTAAGGACTCATTTATTATGGTGACAATATAGTCCTTTATTAGTAACCATTTTGATACGAGATTTAGAGTTATTTGTAAATTTGTTTAGTCACAGTTTGGTCACATTTGTTAATTGTTGTTAATTGTTCTGGTCACAAACTAGTCAGAATTTCTGAAACTTTTTGGTCACAGAATGGTTACATCTTATTAGTCCGAAACCTGTCCATTTCAAAAGCAAATGCATTCAAAAACCATTCAAATATCAATCAAGTACCATTCCAAACCATTCAAAAACTATCCTAATCAAAGCATAACATATCCTAATAAGTTCACATACACAGACAAAAGGAAACTAAAATCAAGTTGAATGATTTGAGGCGGTGTTAGATAGAGGAGAGGTTGGTGTGGTTCTAGTGGTGTCCGTCAGATTTCAGACTCAAGTACCTTCTACCACCTTTCGATGTCCGTCAAAATGGTCTTGCTTTTTTGTGCAGTCTTTTTGGCTGCCTAAGAGAAAACAAAGATCAAAGAATTTAGGTGTCAGAAGTTATAAAATGAAGCGACAAACATTCTTGTCAAGTCAATTCAAGAAGCTATACCTCTTCCATTTTGATCTTTCCAACGGAAACCTTTTCCTTTGTCTCAGTTATACCCTTCCTGACCAAGGTCCCGGTTGTGGCAGCAGCTGTTATGAGGTGTTCTTGCACGGCATGTCTAGTTGCCGGCTGCTGAAGAATTGCCCACCAGAAACTGCACTAAGAGCATTTAACTACGCTTTTAGACAGCTCATTCATTACCGTGCCCATGCCATCCAAACCAGCCTTAACCATGTACAAAAATAAAGAGGAATATTAGTCGAAATGTAGAAGCAAAAACTAATAACATTGGAAAATTAGAAGACCATTTACCATCTCAAGGAGAATGCTATCCTTGAGATTATATGCTGATATGCTATCATAGGTTAACTTAGGGAAAGGAAACACTAGTTATTGAAAGGTAAATTAGAAGTACAGAACAAGCACATACTTAAACAAATAATAACAGAGATACAACAAACACAGTAGTTTCTTAGAATCAATATACAAACACAAACTTAAGCAAATTAGATGAGCAGTCACTATACTAACAAGATTCAAGATTAAAACAAAGCTTAAACTAAAGTCAAACATTAGAAGATTCATGTATTCCATCACTACAGTTGAATAGCTAACATGAAGAACATAGACTAGATGGATTACATGAATTAGAAACTTCTGAAGATTTTGAGTTTCCACAATAATCAACATATTAACAAAGGCAGAACACATGTCTGAACAAAAGCAGAATACGTGCTAGTTTCTGCATCCAAATCCATTCCATAACATAAATGATTTCATTAGCATACCAAAAGCTAGCTTATCTTGCTCAAAACTTGAACCTTTTTAAACAGGGCTAAACTCCAAATAATGCCTTTAAATCCGATTCAATTCTATGGATTAATGGTAACTAAAAATGAAACATTCTTACTTTGAACACCTGCGAATAACTACATTTGCTACTGGAGAAAACTCAAGTATCCAATTGGATCCAGCAGATGGAGAATTCTCTATGTCTTCGACCCAAGCAACCATTTAAGTGAACTATCTTTAACCAATCCTTCTAGAACATCCTGAGTTCTGCTCGACATACTTAGATTTCTTCACCTGGTAAAATCATTTCAAATATTTAGGCAAACCAACTAATTTTATCACAAAATTTGACTCCTAAACTCAAACTACAGAGGCTATCATTGATCAAAATCTAACCTTTATTAGAAGTTTCAACACAGAGATTACTCAACTCAAATCAAGAGACGAAAATAAGTGAAACATATGTGAGTCTGACTAATTCATGAACAATTCTGATCAGATTCCAAAATTACAGAGCAGACCCACCTCAAAATCAACTAACTTCACAACTATGAATTGTTCTCCCACAACACCATAAACGCTTCGCTATCTCCAATTATCAAGATTCGGTCGTGATTTGGGGTTTATCGAAAAGGGACAAACAAGAGAAGCGGAGGAAGTGAGACAGAGCGACGAAGAACGGAGCGACGAAGATGGGTTAGGGTTTCAGCTATGTTTCAGCCACCGACATCAAAATATATGGATTAGGGTTATCTGAGACGAGCGAAGAAGCTTGAGAATGAAAATTTTATCGAATTGAAGAAGAAGAAGAATCTGGGGATGAGAGCGAGAGTGACAAAGAGATGGTGGATCTGAAATCTAAAGCGAAATTGATAAGACCCAATAGATCTAGGGACGCATAATCAAAGGAAGACAATAAGAGTGAGGAGAAGGTATCGAGGGAGAGAAACAGTACCTGTCGGACCCGAGTCGGATGGGCGTTGGCGACGACGGTCATTCTCTTGGCCGGAGGAAGCCATGTGATGGTCGGAGATGAGGAGGGTGAAGTTTAAGATATCGCAGTCTAGGGTTTGAGAGTGGTTTGGTCGGAGATGTCGAGGATGAAGGGTGAGAATAGGGTTTTTTTTTCAAGTGTCGAGGATGAAGAGTAATAGAGAGTGGGATTTTCATTTAACTGAGAATATTTGGTGTGTATAGGGTAGGATCGACTTTGTTTTAACCTAATAATTAAGTGTATTGGTCGCTCTTTAGTCGCAAACTAGTGACAAACCAAAAAAAATGGGGGGAATCGAAACCGCCCAAACACTTAGCCAAAATCATATAAATTTCACAAACCGTAGCTAAATGGTCGCTATATTGGTCGGTAAATAGTCAGAACATACGTCCCAAAACAGTCGCTAAATGGACAGGGGTCCCAAACTAGTCCCAATTTAGCGACTCATTTGTGACTGTGTTATATTAGTCACAAGACAAAATTTAGAAATCTTCACATTGTGATCAAAAATGGTGATATATATCACCCACAAACACTCATATTAGTGGTATAGAGGATATAAAAGTGTTTTAGGTAGAAAAACTTTGCTAAACTCAAGTAATATAGATATTTTACTAAATCCCTAAACATTAATCATATGAGTAATGTAAAAGTATAAATAGATTTGGTACTTGTGAATGTTTTGTTAGTAAACATCAAAATTTATGATCTTGGTTGAGTTCTTATTACTAAGTTCGACCAAACACTTAGCAAAAATCTTAGAAATTTCACAATTAGTATCAAAATAGTCGCAACATTGGTCGGCAAATAGTTACAATATTTGTCGCAAAATAGTCGCTAAATGAACAATAGTTACAAAATGGTGGCACTTTTGCGACTGTTTTGTGACTGTTATCTATTAGTCACAAGACAAAATTTAGAAATCTACACATTGTGATCCAAAAGGGTGATATATATCACTCACAAACACTCATATTAGTGTTATAGAGGACATATATTAGTTTAAGGTTGAACAACTTTGCAAAACCCAAGTAATATAGATATTTTACTAAATCTCTAAACATTACTCATAAGAGTAATGTAACAAGACAAAGAGATTTGGTAGTTTTGAATGTTTTGTTTGTAAACATCAATATATATGACTTTGGTTTTGTTTTTATTACTAAGTAACATCAAATTAGTGTAGAATTGTTTAACTTTATATGTAAACAAATTTAAAATGTGAAATTTGTAAAACCAAAAATCGATAGTTGGTAAATAGTCGCAAGCCGGTTGCTTTCTCAGGTGTCAGTCGCAAAATCTTCAGGTGCTAGTCGCAAACCGGTCGCTTTCTCTGCATTTCAACGTGTTTTGAGCCAACTCTTTCCAACTAATTTGCAACGAAAGTGTAACTATAACAGGTGGTTGTTAACTAGTCGCTCTTTTGAGACTCAATTGCGACGATCATTTGAGACCAAAAGTTGAGTCGCACATCAGTCGCATATCAGCCACCCATTTGCGACTATAATAAATTAGTATGTAATCGGTTTTAAAATCGTCGCAAATTAACGACTAAGTAAAGACTATTTGTTTTAGTCGCAGAATAGCGACTATATTCCATCTGTAAATATTGTGGTCGCTAAATGGTCGTTCAGAAGTCACAAAATAGTCGCAAACATTTGCGACTAATAATTCGGTCGCAAAGTTTAGTTGCAAAACGCAGGTTTTCTTGTAGTGTGTGGGAGTTGTATGTATGGATGCAAAGCTAAAGCTATGGCGCTTACGAAATACTGTCAGCTCCATATTCTTAAGGATAGTAAGCAGAAGCTCTACACTGGTTGTACAAACGTCATCAAACGGTTTGTTTCAATTTCTTTGTCTTTGGTTTTGAAATTCCCGTAAAAAACAAAGTAATTGGTGCTTCAAGTTGTGTTCTTTACATATTATAGTTGGGTTAAGATATTGTTTTTGTGGTGATGAATTGAAGCAGCAAAGCAGTTTGTGTTATGTAATGAGCCAAGAAATTGTTTCTCTTTTTTCAAGTTTGCAGAAAGGATTTGGGATTGACACGTGGTTAGGATTGATGGCTTTCATTTTCATACGAGTGATCCTCGTAACCTTTTATAGGTTTGGCTATGTTTTGAAAACTTGATTGATGTGCTGCGTTATTCCAGTTGATATACGTAACTGACAAAGATGTCTCTATTGATGTGTCTTTGCAAAGGTTACCTGTGAAAATGACAGCCGTCAATCCTAACCACGACCCAAGTTAAAAGTAACTCTTTGTTTTCCAACTGAAACGACCTAATATTATCTGGTTCAACTTTTCCTATGTCTTTGATGAAGTGGCCAAGATCATTATATAGAGAGGGCTGCTCATTTCAAAAGCTTCTTTCGGTAATATTCTCCGAATGTACAAAAACAGCATTTCTCCTCAATCTTTTTACAAGATTTCCATTCTCATCATGCTTTACAGTTTCTTCTACCTGATGAAGTTAAATGAAAGTATATTACTAGAAAGTTACAATAAGTCTTAGGTGTATAGCATCAAGCAAATTTATCATGAACATCAAGCAAAATACAATGACAAGAGAAGAATTGACTTTTTAACATACAAGAAGATCAGCTAGATGCATCAGTTTTAAACCTGAACATCAATTAAGCTGATAGTCTTCTTCTACACATGGCTAGATTTTACAAGGGTTCAGACAACTGTAATTTACAAATTACAATGCATAACCCTAAACGTACATGTGTACCAACAATATTTTTCAACAAACTAATATTGCTAACATTGATAGAGACTCAACTTAAACCTAGAGCCTAAATTTCTAAATACATACAGATCACATATCAAAGCAAGTGCTGTATATATAATTTGTAATCAAAGATATAAACTATCACCTTTTTCTTGAAAAGACAATATCCTTGCCGAAACAATTCAGGAAGCGTTTTGTAATTGATATCAAATTTCTGAAAGATAAGTTCATTTTTCTATTGTTTTTGTTTATCTTGCAGGTATAGAAATCGTGTGATCAAACAACATAATATAATTACTAAGCATGAAACTAGGCTTAAGAAGGTAAAGGGCCATTTTGACATCTATATTAGAAAAATAATAATTATAGTAGTAGTGTATCCTGCAGACAAAAAACATGGATCTCTGCCATAGAAAAACACGAACAAAATACCTTTAGAATCTCTTGTGTTTCACTTATGCTCTTTCCACTTTTAACTAACATCTAGAAATAAGTGTCATACTGATTATTGGCGTTGCCTGCAACCAAAAAACGAAAGTTGTTTTTAGTTCGCAAAGATAATCCGCGCAAATAAGTATAAATAATATCCAAAACATAAAAAAATCAAGAATATGTGTCGAGTACAATATTTATGTTGTCAGAATGTCTTACAGTCCTCTTGTCTCCACGTGAGATAAGCCTGAAGAACCAAGGCCAATGCACAACTTACAACTTTTGAACTGAAGGTAGCATATTCTAATTTCTTCTTTCTACTTTGATACTACTCTCTCACTTTGAAACTTTCCTGCCAACAAAAAAAAAAAAAACTGCAATCAAACCGGGCACTAAACCGAAAGCTGAGCCGGTTCTCTACACCGTCATCATCGTTAATCCAAATTTATTTTTAACTGAAAACCCAAAACCAGAAGGCAGCTGTGTTCAGTACTTCAGTTTATTAGTATATCATGATATATGTTATGATATATATTGATATATCATGAAATATATTGCTATATCATGATATATAGTGATATATCATGAAATATATTACTATATCATGATATATAGCGAATACCATAACATATCATGGTATATAGTGATATATCATATGTAAACTATATTAGAAGAATATTACGATGTATAATTTCCATGAGATATATTTATAAACCTTGATATATATTTATATATCACGATATTTTAACATATATTATACTATATATTGTGATATCATGACATATGTTATGATATATATTGCTATCGTGAAATATATTTCTATATCTGGATATATAGTGAATATCTTATCATATCATGATATATAGTGATATATCATATGGAAATAATATTAATAGAATAATACGATGTATGATATATATCCATGTATCCGATAAGAAAAAAGATATTACAACATTTTATTTTGTAGCAGAATATACTATCGATGCAAGCATTTAATAAGTGGTGGCCCACTATAGATTCTCTGACGCATATGTCTCCTATAGAAAACTCCCAATTTATATTCCAGGGGTATTTTTGTCCATATTTATTACACCCACAATTTCTCTCTCTTATCTTGCAAATAACGAAAAATTATGTCCTGTTTCATAAAAAATCAAGAATATGTGTCGAGTACAATATATATGTTGTCTGAATGTCTTACAGTCTTGTTGTCTCCACGCGAGATAAGCCTGAAGAACCACGGCCGATGCACAACTTACAACTTTTGAATTGAAGGAAAGAGCATATTCTAATTTCTTCTTTCTTCTTTGATTCTACTCTCTCACTTTGAAACTTTCCAGCCGACACAAAAAAAAAAACTGCAATCGAACCAGACCCTAAACCGAAAGCTGAGCCGGTTCTCTACACCGTCATCATCGTTAATCCAAATTTGTTTTTAACAGAAAAAACCAAAACCAGAAGGCAGCTGTGTTCAGTACTTCAGTTTATGAGTATATCATGATATATGTTATGATATATATTGATATATCTTGTAATATATTACTATATCATGATATTTAGTGAATATCATATCATATCATGATATATAGTGATATATCATATGTAAACCATATTAGAAGAATATTATGATGTATAATTTCCATGAGATATATTTATAAACCTTGATATATATTTATATATCACGATATTTTAACATATATCATACTATATATTGTGATATCATGAGATATGTTATGATATATATTGCTATATCATGAAATATATTGCTATATCAGGATATATAATGAATATCATATCATATCATGATATAGAGTGATATATCATGATATATAGTGATATATTAAGATAATAGTGA